ACTCTTTCCTGCCTATGCAGGGGGTCGGACTCGATGATCTGTTGAGGTCCCTTCCGACCCTAGCATCTATGAATCTATGAACCACCTTCCTGTTTTCTTCTTACAGCCAGAAGAGGAGCCAAAAGAAGAAGCAGCACCAGCCAAACCCGTTGTGGGAATTATTTACCCTCCTCCGGAGGTCAGGAATATTGTTGACAAGACTGCTAGCTTCGTAGCCAGGTAAATGGTACTACATTAGACTGTTTCTTGGGATTTTTACACCCTTAGAAGTGATGATACCTACATAGACCTACAAACTGGAGAAAGTCTTCATGTTCGTCATCATCATCAGGTGGATGGGGATAATTGGAGTAGTCTTGCAAAATAATAAATTACCAGTTCAGGTGCAAAATCTGCAAGTATGCTGATCTTTGCTAGAAGGATGATGGTAGGGGAAAAAAAGCAAGGTTCTACTTAACTGTCAAAAGATATAATCCTAAAGTAAGAAAAATGGAGTACCTGCCAAGAATCTAACAAAAAAGAGAAACTAGTGATTCAGTGGGTAAAAGCAGGTGTTGGGATAACCCTTTTATCCTAGGGTCCTACTGACATACAAGCCCATTGTCCCACTTCAGGTTTCTGCGAAGTATCCAATATAACATTTTTTTCTTGGACAATAGGGGCTAGTTGAATTAGTCCAAGGACAAGTTACATGCGTCCAGGGCTATGCCACTCCCAGGTTTTGATCTGGAACCAGTCCAAATGTGACATGTATTTTTACCCCATGAGATTTAAATTAAATGAAAGTGCAGTGATAACTAAAACCAAATAGTAAGTTATAAAATGTCAAGAATCAAAGTATAGTAAATCTTTGTTATCCAGCATCCCTGGGGTAAGGGGATTGCTGGTTATGTAAAAATTCCAGTTATCTGAAATAAACCCAGCAGGATTTTTCAGATAATGTGGGGGGAAGCAGAAACCGCACAGGGGGTGGTGGCAGCCGCTGTGTATGAGCTCTGCCCC